TAAAGGCCACTCCACTCAAGGCTTCGAATCAGTCAACTGGGATTTCTAGTTAAACTGCAGAGAAGCTGAGGGCACAAATCCATGGCTGGGAACAAACAAACTAGCTTAACCCGCTTCACCTATGGGTTTCTGCATACGTGTGCGTGTACACCCCCCCCCCCGGCATCTGTACACCTCACAGGGAAGCAGGACACGCACAACTAGCAAAGCACCTCTGCCAAGTGCTGTACAAGCCGGGCACAACTGCAGGCTAGCTGGAACTAGAGGCATGGCTGTGTTGTAAATCGGAGGGAAGCTGGCAGGACCCAGGGACGTACGATGCCAGCCAGCTCAGGCACCAAACAGGAGCGAACCCGTGGCAGCTTGGGCTACAGTCAAGGGCTGTGCAAAGGTCCCTCCCCATGCACTGAGTCTACACTCAAGCCCCTGCGTGTTCACCCGAGCTGAATTCAAAGCCAGTAGGCCTGGTTAGTAGAGCTGCAGTAACCCCACTCTGGAGTGAACATATGGCCTGAGTCTTAGTTACAACAGATCTCTAGGGTATAGGACATTCAGCAGTACCTAAGCAACAAAAATTGATGAGGGAAAATAAAGTGTACCTGATGCAGAGACATTCACCAAGTCAGGGCTACTCCAGCCACTGTGCATCGTCTCAGCACCTGCAACAAACTGGAGAAGTTGTTAAGAAAAAAAGTGAGATGTACTGTCCAAAGTGTGATGTATTCCCTTCCTTGCCAGGCTGGAAAGTACTGCCAAGGGAAAAAGTTAGAACGAGTCACTGGTTTTTGGAAGACAAAAACTGAAAAATTGGAGTTTGTTCTTAGAGGACTTCAGTCGGCTTGTACAGGACCCACTGCAGGCAGTGCAGCAGCACAAAGACGATTTTCAACCACACAAATACAATTTTAAAAGCAACATCTCCTGACTACTGGGGTGGGCAGGTGGGTCATCATAAAAAAGGCATCGGTTCAACTGCAAAGTTTATTTAACAGTGCACACATATTTACATACAGCTGTAACAGAGCATTCAACAAATAATATCTGCACAGAAAAAATATCAGCATCTGGTTTGTTAGAATGATTGTCTCTGCCAGAATGAAACAGCTATTATACAAAAATACATTTTCTTCTTAGCTAAGGCACTGCTCTAAGTCTAAAACAGTTCTGCTAGAGTCTGAATAGCAAAGGGGTAAGAGGAAGGTTTCCTATTTTATTGTGGTGTCAAGAAAGGAACGCAGTTTAGTTCCAGCAAAAACATTTGCATTTAAACACTGAAAATGCAGCTTCTATTTGGATGATTCATTTAGTTCATTTTCAGCCAATGGCTTAAAGCGGGGTTTGAGAAAGCAATTCTTAAAAGGAAGTCACTTATCTGGTACATCTATTACGGAGGCATAAGAACAGGACTGCATTTGAACTTCTAACAGCAGCCAATTTCAAAAAAGATGCTCAGTTAATCTCTTCATGCTGTAAAAAGCAGGCAAGTTTAGGTTAAGTAGCTTCCTTTATGCAGACTCGAGGGAAGGGAAACACATACGAAATTTGCAGCCGTTGTTATAAAGCTAGCATGGGAACATTTAGAATTATTAACATGAACAAAACATGACTGCAGTGGTCTAATACTGTTATGTACACAATAAAATAATACTTACATGAGAGTAGATAACCTTAAATATGTAATCCAAACGAAAACATTTTAAAAAGCAAGACAAATATTGAGCTGCACTATGGCAAACATGTCTAGGTACTTAACCGTGTTGCAAAGTATTAGTGCCTGTGTACTGGTGTGTACTACAAAAAGCTACTCCAACATTAAAATGCACTAGTGATGATATGATGCTGTGTTGTTAAACTACTACTACTTTCACATTCAAAGTAATCCAGCATCAGTTTTCTTAAATCCGACGCTGGATGAAAGATACTGAATTTAGCTTTTCTTAAATATCCTACCTGCATTCATGAGTCTGGAGACATTGTAGGGAAATGTTACCCCTGGGTTTGGTTTTGCTCCTCACCAAATGCATCTTCGTTAAACGTTTGCCATGTGCTGTTCTAGGGCCGTGCAAAACTTGTCAGTAACCAGCTGGGGCAGCTGCAGGGGCAACACCCGTACACCGCACTAATACCAAAGTAAGGGACTTGGAGACAGAGTCATACAGAGATCGTAAAAGGAAAACGGGTCATCTGTAACCAGGAAGCCTTGTCAAAAACAGTCCACTAAACACATGGAAAAGGAACAACAGCAAAGGAGTCTCCCTGAAGTGTTTCAAGGTGCAAATTTTGAAGTCTGCTATCCCTTCCCTGGTCGTCTTTTTTTTTTTTTGCAAGCTTGAAGGTGGGTCAAGGTAAACAAGCAGCTTTTCAAAGCAAGGCCTTCGGTGCTCGGTGAAACACTGTCACTGAAGTGCAATCAGGTTATTTCTCCTGGGCTCTAGTGTTCACAGTTCTGTCCAAAGAGCAAAGAAGAAATGGTTAACGCAGTTAAATGCAGCGTAACATACTACGCACCACATGCCAAACTGCCATGTCACCGGCAGGGGCCAGAGCTTGGCTGAGAATCACTTGGCTGCTCAGTCCACTCCTGTCCGTGGACAAGCCAGTTGGTGCAAGGCAGAGGGATTTGGGAATGCATCTGTTACAGGCTTGCATCCTATGTGGCCCTACCTCAAAGCATCAAAGCCAACCTCAAAATTGATTCTTCCTTCAATAAAAATACATGTAATTTATTAGTAAGCTCAACAGAGCTGTTCTAGAGAGGCAACTGCATTTGGCTGCACATTTCAAATACCTCAGAGCAAAGGCTGTGGGAAGGAAGAAGCGAAGGCGCCAAAACCTGCAGGTCTCCAGTAAGGCACAGCAGACACTGCAGGGACACAACTGAGCGTATCTAGCCCCTACAAATCACCTGGCTGGAGTGAGCGCATCTCCACAGACCCATTTACAATCTGGGCATCACGCTCACATCAGTAAATAATGGGGCTGATCCAAGAAAGTACATCATGCACACGTCTGCCCCCGGGAGATCCAACGGGTGCCAGCCTGAAAAGCCCGCGTGGTATAATTTACACATGTGGTGTCTGGAGAGAGGATGCACAGAGCACACCCATCCCCTTGCCACCACCTTCCTCCTCTCCTCCACTGCCGCATTGTACTCTGATGCGTGGATAAGGCCTCCTGTGACAAGCCCCTCTGTATTGGGGACTCTCTCCCAATGGAAGACAGTTCAGTTCTGTCCTGAACTTCTATTGTGGAGAATCCCTGCTGTGCAAGGGACTGGTGGAAGGACGTTCCACCAAAACCCCAAGTGGAGCAGCTCCCGGTGCGAAGGCTGAGCAGCCCGCCACCAAACTGCAGCACTGTGGGCAGGGAAAGCTGGACGCCAGCTGAGTCTGGCAGATGAAGGGCTGCAGGAGCCAAAGACGTTTTAACACGTTGCTGTCTTCAAAACGCCTCTCACTACCACTTCCGGAAAGCACAGCATTTAACAGGCACAGCCCATCTTCAGGATGCTGAATGCCACAGCGGCTCTGCCATGACTGAGCTTGCTTTTGGGAGAGGACCTGGCTGCACTGACCACATCCTAGGCAGGGAGTGCTCTGACCGAATGGGAGCTATGACCACTGCAGCATGGGCATGATCCTGATTCAACAAGCAACATACTTCTCAGACACCTACCGTTTGGGTGCAAAGCACATTTAACGGAGCTGACTTCATGCAGAGGGGGTAGGAGGCAGACAGAAGTCGTGGGTATTACCTGAGGCAGCCTCTATAGGTTTGGTCGGTGGATTCACTGCACCATCTTCCTCAAATGCCAACTTGGGACCAGAGGGAAGTGTAGCAGCATCATTCAAGTTTTGATGACAGTTATCAGCAGGGATGCTATCTGAACTCAGTCTGGGCGACTTGGAATGTACTCCAAGATCGAGAATTTCCTTGAAAGTCCATGCGTTGGATTTTCCATTAAGATTTTGTATGAATCCAACTGTGTGATCAGCTTCATTCATGTGCAATATTTCCGAATTCTGGATAACCATTTCTTTTGCAGGAGGGCTGGGGAAAGAATAGTATTTTTGTTAGAAGCCAGGAGTATCTAACTTTTATTTACACTGAAAAGAGACAGGAAGCCACTGATACAAAACTGCTTACTCTAGAAAAGACAGCTCATTTTCCCCAAAGAGCATTTCTAGGATATGCTGCTCCTCTTTTAGGAGTCAAAGCAGAAGACAACTGCACCAACATCTTGTTCAGTCACTACTGAACCAGTAATCTTCAGACAATTGTTTCTCTAGAGATTTGGTCCAAAAAGGTATAGCAACTGCATCACCTGCTTTCACAGTGAGAAATCTGGTGTGCTCTTGGGTAAATTTGATACCCTTGGCACATGTCTATCATGGCACGCCTGCGTGAGGGGTTTTAGTCCATCAATCCACACTCCAACGAAGGAGCAGGTTTCAACCATTCTGAAGAAATCATGATACAGCTGGCCTTTGTATTCAGTCAACATATACATGATAGCAGGCATGATAAGAAACTTAAATTTAACAGTCCTTGCAGTGCCATTCCCAAAGCATCATTAGTTCTGGACTAGCTAAAAAAAAACCGTCCAGGAGTCAAGAGATTACCTGGGACTGGATAGAAATTGTTTATCTCTAAACAGATGACGAACTAAAAGCCTTGCTTGCTGGGAACACCCATGATTCACTTGCTGGGAAGTCTGGTCCACAGCAAAATCCTGTGGATTTAGCTTAATCACATACCTAATTTAAAGGTAGCATTTATTTCACTGGTGTGAGGCTTTGCCTAGAGAAAGCTATCAGGTGTTTCTACCAGATGACCATAAATCTCACTTAAGGTACATCGAGTGCACAAGTTACACACACACAGACACAGAGTCTCACCTGGAATCTTGTAGCTGATTAACAGGCAAAGACCTCCTGTCGTTACTTCTCTCATTGTCTTGCTCATCTCCATTCATAAATACTTCATCAGCCTCTGCATCTTGCACTGAAGTTTCTGCACCAGTCAAACCACAGGCAACTTCGAAAGAACTCTCTGTCTCCCCCTTGATTTCCTGGGAGAGAGTAACGCCATTCATCTTTTCTGGAAAGAAAGACAGAAAAGAAGTCTGAGATGGCATGGCCATGCAGCAAATCCCCAAGTATCTTCTTGCCTGGCTGAAGTGTGTCGAGCTCCCAGCACTGCAATATTCACTCCTTTCCTGGAAAGCTGGCTGCAGGGGTGTGCAAACTAGATTGCTTCTCTAGAGATTTGGTCCAAAAAGGCATAGGAACTGCACTGCCTGCTTTTATAGTGAGAAATCTGGTGTGCCCTTGGGTAATTGGATACACTTGGCACATGTCTATCATGTGGCCTCTCTGCTTTGCAGTATGACCCTTATGACCACACGGTCATATAACTCATTTCACATTTCTGGTTAACCACCTTGTTCATCTTCTGCCTTCTGGCATCTACAATGATGTATTGTTATTGTAACACACAGCTGTTGGCAATGTGTCCACATCACCACAAACAGCCCCACTGCCTTAGACTCAGCTCGTGCTGCATGCCTGACTGCCCACCTTCAGTGTATTGGCAGTTCTAACCCTTTGGGTCCTGGGTGAGCAATTGCTTACCAGGGTCATCTGCTTTTTCAAGGCCCAGCTCTTCCTCTTCTTCGGCGTCCTCTCCCTCACTAATCCCGGCAGCAGACTTCTCTTCACCCTGCAACAGTTCTCCAAGCGTTACTCACAGGAGTCCGGCATCATGGTATTATTTATGCAGTGTGCACTGCAGCTATGGCCAATGGCCCAAACCTGATCGCTCAGGCCATGAGCCAACACATTAAAAAGTTATGTCCAGGTTACACAGGGGCCCTGAAGAAGGAACATTTTTTAAGAATCTGGAGACATGGCAGCAAAGCCAGCTGGATTAGCGGCAGCAAAAGGAAAGGAAATCACGCACACATCTGTTCCAGCAGCACTGCCGTGGGGAGCTGAGAGCCATACCACTGTGTACAGCTTGAGGTAGCGGAGGGGAACAGCAATCATCTGAGGGGCTAATGTTTCCGAGGCTTGGCTTGTCTCTCTGCCCCGGCTTCCGACCTAGGGATTTCCCTCATTAAATCAGGGGTCCTGCATGGTTATAATCTCCCTGTGCTATGCAGGGCCACGCACAGTGCAGCTTTGGGAGGATGTATCGTTTCAGGGCTCAAATCCATCACTACTGGGGGATGGGCAGACCTACATGGGACACAGGATTAATTCTACGTCTGTCTAAACAGAGGTGTCCAGGATCTTCCTCTGACATCTGGAGCTGGCCCGTTGGGGAGAAGAGGGCGGATGAGGGCAGACAGCCCCCAGACTAAGCCAGCAGGGCAATTTCTGTGCCTCATGCCTGTGAAGTAGTTAGGCTGCTGGATAAAGAAGGTACAAAATCAAACACCCTAATGATCATTAGCCTGGGGCACAGTTAATGCCTGGTAAGCCATAAGCACTTGCTAAAACAGCAGTTATGCTGGAATGGAGTCGAGGCCTCCCCTCTGCTGCATTCACAATTGGAGCAAGGTTTTTCTGAATAAATGAGGAACTTATTATGAAAAATCCGCCTCGTTTCTCACTGGCTCCTCTCTGTGACCTCTCACGTGGAGGTGACACAGTCAGGACAGCCTCGCTGCCTACACACACATCTGCTAACACAGGCAGCTTTGACTGGAGCAGGGAGAGCATGTGAATTACAGCAGAAAGCTGTGGAAATCGCTGCACAGGATCCTAGCACTGACTGGAAGCCCTTTCATTTCAGTATAATGCAGAGAGAGGCACACAATCCTCAGAAGTGCAAGGTTTGGAAAGGATCCGAACCAGACACGCGAGACCTCTCCCGCCACGCACCTCTATCACACCACAAACAATAAGGTACCTTGACTTCACTCTGATCAAACTTCCGAGTTCTTTTCATTATTTCTTCAATTCTCTGTTAAAAAGACAACAGAAGTGAACTTTGCAGCACTGAGAGGGCTAAACTCTATGCACCGGGTTTGTTCCATCAACTTCTGTATTTAAAAGCTTACTTGAAAAAGGCTCCTTTCACCCAAAATTCAAAAACTAAGGGTCATAAAATGAAATAAATAGGCAGTAAGGCTGCTTAAAAACTAACACAGAGCAGTTCTTTCATATAGTGTGCAATTAAAGTGCAGAACTTGTGGCCGCAAGATGCTGTGGAAGCTGACAGTTTTACCCACATTTACAAAGGGTTTAGAACAGGGGTGGACAAAATGCGGCCCAGGGGCTGGATGCGGCCTGCCAGCCCATTCTTTCTGGCCCACGGAGCCCCTAAAAAATTTAGAAAATTAATATTTATCTGCCCCTGGCTGCCTGTCATGCAGCCCTCGATGGCTTGCCAAAACTCAGTAAGTGGCCCTCTGCCCAAAATATTTGCCCACCCCTGGATTAGATGAATTGCTGGAGGAAAGGGGCATTGGGAGCTATTTAATAGGGGAGTGAGGAGCACAGCCTCCGAATCAAAACTGCCTGGACCTTAGATGCTGGAGGCAGCAAGTGAGAGAGGAGCAGGGGAAAGCCCTGGTCAGACCCAGTTCACTCTCCCTTTCAGCATCTGCTCTCTCCCGCTGTGTGACACAGGAGACTGGGCAAGATGGACGTATGGGCTGAGCCAGTAAATGGCAATTCTTACGTTCCATGTTCCAACTCAAAATTAGATTTATTCCATTATAGCTGACACTGTTCCCACTGCAGGTTTCCTATTTCATTTTTATCATCAAGCTACTTAAGAAAGGTCTGAAAGCAGAAAACAGGCACCTTTTTTCTTTGGAGTCTCTCCTGCATATTCTGCTGCATGATTCTCTCTCGCTCCAGCCTCTGTCTTTCGGCTTCTTCTTGAGCTTTGGCTTCAGCTTCCTCTCTCTAAAGGGTGGGAGGAGACAATGACTTTCAGTACCCCAGTCACCTTCAAGGCTTTGAAGAGGAGCTGTTGTATTACTTGCTATTTTGCAAAAAGGCCCACAGATAAATGGTTCAAATGACCACTTTTAGCCATTTAACTTGCAGATCAACTCTTACCTAAATCCCCATGCAAAGGACAATTTCCCATTCAACTCCGAAAGTCACAATATTTTGGGTGCCTCCTAAGCTATTCAGATAGTTGGAGTTTAAACTCATAACTTTCCAAAAGGGCGTGTTTAAAAACTGCAGTCAGATAACAGTATTTCAAAACCTGGTGCCACATTGATTATTGTTCCTACTGTAATGGAAAATTGTTCCTATTATGACTGCAAGCCTTGTTGGGAAGCTAAGAGGATTCATGCTTCTTTAACACCAATTTAGGTGGGTTTGGCAGCGTGTAAAAATGCCGAGAAACGTTTATGAAGCAGCATAGAAGTAATCTGACAGTACACCATGGATACAGTTTCTGTATACTAAGCCTCGTTGGCTTTGGGCTGCTATCAATTAAACCTACTTAATAGAGCTGATATATATTGAAAAATGTATAGTCATGAAAACCTGTATTCAGGATCAGGAGAAGCCAGGTCTCCTTGCTCTCTGAGATATTATCACTACCATTTATAAAGAAGTCAGGTGAGACGTGGTGCCCCTTTTCCATGGGCTGGTGTCTGATAATTAGAGTCCGTGGCTGTAAGAGCAGCCCCCAGAAGGTTATGGAGAAGGTCTATTGGATTTTAAAGCTCTCGTCTACAAAGCTACAAAATGCTGCTAAGCTGCTTTGAAAACATCTGCATCTTTTGCAGACCCAACGGCCACCTGACTTGGGAGAGTTTTGGCAGTGGCTGCTTTTCTGTGGTGTCCTGCCCCTCCAAGCACATATGTCTGGGGTTCGGGATCCCCAAAAAGCCTCGCTGCTCTCTTGAGGCTCAGAGCTGTGGTCTCTGCTTAGGAAGCAAACCTGCTGTTGAAGCTCTGCCAGCTTGTCCCGCTCCTCTTGCTCCCGGCAAAGCCTCTCCTCTTCCGCTTGCCTTTGCTGCTCTTCATAGGCAAGTTGTTTTTCTTCCTCCAGCTTCCGGAGCTCCTCTTCCCTCCGGGCCCTGTCTTCAAGTGCCCTCTTTTCCATTTCCTCTGCTCTGATCCTAGGATTCCCAAGAAGCAGATTAAACCACACATCTCTTCCAAGGCAGCAAGCCCTCCGTTTCTTATTGCCGCACCACCCTCTCATCCCACATTGTCTCTAACGAAGTAACAAGCAATGCTGTTGTTGCAACCACACAGACTTCCCCAGGTGCATGTGCACTTCTCTTCCTTTCCCTCCATCTGTATTTCCCCTTTCCTTCCTTCCACTCCCCCATTCCTTCCTCCCAGGTACCCCTGAGAAATCTGCACTGCTTTAAGGTGCAGGAATAGGAGGACAGTAAGAGTTTGAAGCTAGTGCAAGGTGCTGGTTTGAGAGCTCTGCAGAGCAACCCATTTATTAAGCTCCTTCTAATGACCTCCATCCCCAAAGGAGGGGCAGAGAGGAGCAGAAAATCAAATCTGATACGAAGGAGCCATCCCTGGGAACAGAAGTTCATTTATGCTCTCGGACTCTGACACAGGATTAGGGGTGGCAGGGTCAGTCCACAGGGGAGACAATTTAGAGATCAGGTCATCTGTCCACTGACAACTGGATCAAGAGACCAAGTGATTCCACAAAGGACATTCAGGGTCATAAGAAAGGTGGGCTGGAAGGAACCTCACAAAGTCATCTAGTCTAGCCCCCTGCTCAAGACAGGATCCCCTCTGACTAAACTTGCTTTATCATACTCAGCGCGGGGTAGAAATAACATATTTTGTGTGCAACCAGTAGCCTGCAAGTTGGAACAGTCTCTGAGCTGGTCACTGGAAAGCTGAAGAGGAACGCTTCCCAAGGACTCCTGATACCCTCGGAGGAAAGTTAAATGTGGGGTAAGCAGGGTATTAACATGTTAAGAGTGGACCCAGCGGAGAAATGGGAGGGTAACACTGCCTAGGAAGTGCCATCCCATTTCACACACGCAGTCCTTGATGTTGCTATCAGAGTGCTCCGTCATCCTATCCCCCCAGCCGTGATGTCTCCCCGCCCCAAGAGTGGAATAATTCTGACTAGCTGGGATGTACACCTAAAATGCCCCCAGCCTGGTTTAAGAAACCAAAACCCTGATTTTCTGGTAGCAAAGAGTTACCGTTCTTCCTCCAGCCTTTGAATCCTCTCCTGGTCTTCGCGCTCTCTCTGCTCTCGTGCAAGACGTCGTTTCTCTGCCAAGATTTTCGAGGCTTCTTCGGCTGTTGTGGTCCCTGCAACAGTTTTGCTACTAGGGTCTGCAATTTAAAAAAAAAAAAGATGCTGTTGTATGGGACCAGCCCCTTCAGAACATGCCTTCCCCACTGTATAATGAGAAGGGAGTGGGATCTCTTCCATCCAACCGACCACAAGGACACAGCCCAGTCTCAGAGACTATTCAGTATTCAACATTTGGAAGATGGATGAGCAGAGCAAAGAGCAGCAAAAGCATCTGATTTACACTGCAGGTATTCAACTGTAATTTGTTTCAACTATCCAGCACTGGCTATTGTTTAAATAATGCAATTACTATAATTAAACCTACAGTAGGAGTAACACTGCAGCACTGCAAGGTGCACTTCCAAGAAGACGGCTGTATTCCCTTCAGAGCCTATTCTAATAACTCTGTTAAAACATCTGGCGAGATATTACTACATAAAAATAAGCTCAGTTGTTCCTCTAGTAGGCTGAACAAGCATATTCAGGAGCAAAAAGGCAAATTTAAATTTAAAAAAAATCTTTTGAAAAATTCATTTAACATTTATGCTTTCTTGTTTATACTGAACCTTGATGAAAATAACGTGCAGTACATCTCTAGCACTTCATGTCAGTAGAGGACAAACTCTCTAGAATGATGAATCTTTCCACATGGCTACAACGTGTGGAATTTCTCATTTCCATGGAGAACAAAACAGCCCAAGTGGCTGTGTGCATGCACATGTGCATATAAGCAATCACCTTTTAATACTATGCCTTCTACCGTGGTATCTGAATAAAGAACCATGTTAATAAGAAAACAAAAATATTCCAAAAAGCCACTTTCTACAAAGTTAACTGTGAACATACTATAGAAATCCCTAGCAAACAGAACCCTGGCTTAGGAACTATCTCCACCTTTTCAGAGGTGCAAAAAGTAGGGCCCAGTTTTCAGCTATTGAAGCAGATGGGCCTCTATCTATACTAGCTGAGGATATAAGATTTTTTTGTTGTTAATGTCTTCACAGATCAGCCAATAACCTCTGGCATAAAAGTCTTCAAGTCAGCATCATCTTTATGCATTCAGGGAAGTTGTTAAATGGAAAAAAGCTGCCTCCTTCAAGACAGCAAATCAACATGTGCAGCTAAAGGTATTTTGCTTCTGGCCCGAAAATAAGATACTTGACTATAATTTGCATTTCTGTGATGTCTGAACACCTTCGTATGCTTAGGGGAGGTGGGTAGGTTAGACTTTTCAACAGCTGTGGATGTGACAACACCACTTGCCCACTGCAGGAGTGAAAACGTCAGCTGCACGCACACAGTTGCAGAGGCATGACAAAGGTGCGTGCACACGCTGTTTGCTAGTTCTGTGGTGAACAACCCATTATGCAGTTCCAGCCTTCCATCAAGGGCAGCTGCTGAGTTCTTCTAATGAATCGGCACCTAGCAGTGTCGGAAGTGCATCTCTGGGGTCTGACCCATCTCTGCCCACTAAGAGCTGCGTGGGTAGGGGCTCAGAACTGTGCCCGGCCAGCTGCTCTAAATGCCAATTGCTGGTCCTGCCCCGGAGTAGGTAGGGCTCCATTCTGGAAGCAGCAATCTGGGGTCCAGCATGAGGCCACGCTGATGTATCCTGTGTGTTTGTACAGCAAGTAACACAACAGTCCCTGGTCTACACTGTTATAACAAACAAGAGCAGCAGCAGGGGTCCAGGCAAGAGGAGTGGTGTGTATTCTGCATCCACAAACCCAAATCAATAAAATAGTGTAACCATTGAAACATCAACGGTGTCAAACCTGCAGCCCTGACCCTAACAATATTGCCTGCGAAGGATGTAGACCTTTGGGGTAAAGCGCCAAGGTACCTGCTTTACATTTTAGGGCTTCAAAGATGTACGCTTCTATTTGTACTTGTTGGGTGTATGTGTTTGCAAATCTAAGCCTGTTTAACACCCAAACCGTAAACAGGAAATTGTTTTTAGTCAAACCTTGAACTGTCTAGTCAAACTGCACACTGTAAAGTGACTATGTTTTTCTAAAGCCACTGTACAATTAATAGTTGACCAACACTTTATTGGGAAGCTTTCCTAGCGTCCCCTACAGAGCACAAACTACAATACAACCAGATTACACCTATACCAAGGCAGAACCACTCAGGAACTGGAGAGGGTGGAAGCAGCTACTGTATTTCACTTTTCTCATATCTCACAAAGACTAGCAAAGTATTCAACTTCCTTTTTCAGATGGGGAAAACCAGGGCACAGGGAAGTCCAGCGCAGAAAGCCATAAATCAACATCACAAGAGAATTTGATGGCAAGGCCAGAAATTGGACTGGATGTCCAATTTGAGTCAAAGTCCTCCAATGAAAGATCAGGGCTTCTCTTCCTCCCCTTAGGAGGGTGCTGCTTCAGACTCAGCATTCAGGGGAAATTTAGAAAGGGGATGGAGCCTGGCCTGCACACTTTCCAAATCTGCCACCATGATCTTTAGGGACAGCTGGTGCCTAGGAACTCAATTTGTGTTGGGGGTGTCCCATCCCCAGATCTCTCTTTAGGTAAGTGCCACCTTCAAGCTGTGTACTTGCTAGTGCCACCACAGCCGTATCTGGAATAAGATGCGTGCTGGTCACCTGAAGGCACTTACCTTCTTTGGTCTTTGAGGCAGTTGCTACAGTTTCCCTCTCCGAGGGCTGCGAAACACCGGGCTCTTGTCCCACTCCATCTGTGCTCTTCTCCTTTGGTTTGCTCTCGGTTTCAGGCTTCTTTTTGGTAATACTGATAACACTTGGGGTAAGAGGGGGTCGTTGGATAGGTGCTGGTTTAGCAACTGTTGTTGGAGAGGGTGGCCTTTGTTTTAAGATGCTGGGTGATGGTGGACGCGCCTTTTGATTTTGTCTGCTGAGAGAAGAGTATTTTTTAGCCTGAAATGTGCCACTGAAGAGGAACCATTTCTTTGGCTGTTTTACGATCTTGTATTGGACCAACTGTGTAGTTGGGTCAGACACAGACAAGTACCCTTCCTCTGGGCTGTGATATACACAGCAACGCACTGCTCCAAACTGGAGAGCATCAGAGCCTGCATTTTTGTTTTGAATGATACTTAGGATGAACAGAGATTTAAACTGATACACATACCTAACTGAAGAGGGGGATGGCGGATGCTTTGCCAAACTAGCTGGGGAAGGAGATCTTCTATGAGCTGACACAGACGGGGAGGGAGGGCGTCTTCCCACAGAACATGGCGACTGCTTTTCTGCCTCTGATTTCTGCCCAGACACACAGAAACACTGATGATGTAAAGACAATAGAGAAATGCAGAAGGCCTGCCCTCTTATTTAAGATGCTTCTTTGTCGGAACATGGATCCAGCAACATTACATTAATAAGGCTCTTTGGATCTATGAACATGTCCTCAAAGATACAACAGCTTGGCCTGCACAATTCTCATGGAGATTTGAAGCTCTCCAAGAAGCTTGAGCCTGTCTGAATCTGGGAACTTGGCTCAGTAGATTATGAAGAAAAGCACATCCAAGAGATCTGGGGACAGACTGATTTTAGTTTAACTTCAAACACACTTGAAATTTGTTTCCAATCAGTTTAAGACCATCTCTGAAATAGCTGTCTTTGCTCACAAAAATGACACTTTAATATTCCCATTTCTCATCTGGACTTGCTTTTATTAATCTTAATGGAAAGACCAACCCAAGATGATTTAAAATTCACTCTAAAACCAATTGCTTGGAAGATGACAGGAATGCAGAGATGTAGAAATTCCCATTGTTACAATGCTGCTACTTTGAGACAGACACTGCTCAGTAACATTTACCTACAATGCAAAGAAAGCTTCTGATGTGCGTACTGGGCATTTCTGGAGCAATGCATATTGCTCTTGAGCAGGATTGTGAAGCTATACAATAGGGCCCTAGTTCAATCTACCTCAAAAGAGAATTACTTTTTGCAACGTCTTAGTCGAGATGACAGACCTGTGCAGAGTCTGGCGAGCTTGTTTCAGAGGCAGGTATGGAGGTCTTCAATCTGTCAATACTCCTGCTGCGTATGGGTACTCGGGGAGTGTGGACCGGCGTGCTGACAGAGCTGGCTGAAGCTGAACGAGGACAGAGGTGAGATTCTATAAAGTTAGGAATACGACAAGACAAAACAGAGAACCAAGTGCACAGCATGAGAACAGGACACAGGAGGAGAAAGAGAGAGAGAGGGAGAGAGAAAGATTGTGTGTTAGAAACCATACAGAGGAAACACTGCAGGAAGTGTACGTTGCAACAGGTCATGGACAAGCCACCATCACCACGCAATTAGTACTTTAGAAGCAACAGCACCAAGAACAAAACCATTGTGAAAGCAGCAGCTGGGGGTAGATAAAAATAGAATGCTTTTTCAAACATCGTCTCCATCAGGCTTGCAGTGTACAGATGGAGTTTCCAACTCAGTCGCACTGCACCTATCGTAATTCGAGATCAAATCAGAGGGTCTCTATGGGCCAGCCTTTTCTAGAGCCCAGAGTGGGATGTCACACATTTGCATTATGTAGCTGCTCATGTTCTAGCAAAAGGGATCATTTTCTCCACCCTGAAGAGCAGTTTTTCATAAGAGTGGTGACAAATTGCAGTTACCATATTAAGCATCCTGGGTGGGTTTTTTATGTATTGTTCTTATTTAATAAGCAACCGTATAAGAGTACTTGCACATTTACCACTCACATACTCAGGTCTTTTTTATCTGCATTAAAAAAATAAATCGAGATGGGAGGCAAGTGAAGAATGTGAGTGTAAAGGATTAATGGTCAAATTATAACTGCTTTACCACCTTCAAAATTGTTAAGTTCTTAATATGCAGCAAGCCATGTTGACAAAACACAACCACTGCACAGAACTGATCACCAAGAGAAATTAAAAGGCCGTGGTGCATATATAGAAGTCTACAAAATATGGATTATGATGGACGTATTTACAAACAGAAGCTAACAGGTCTAAGGGGGAAACATTTGATTTTTCTACAGGATTAAGAAAATTCTAGCAACCTACAGATGCCAGCATCCAATTACTGGACTATTATGGATAAAACATTTATTTTAATATCTGTAGCATTGTTGTAAGAACAGAACTTTATGACCATTAATTTGAGCTGGAGAAGAACAAGGAGACTACCAGAGTTATGCAGGTGAAAGCATCACTAAAATTACTGATACAATGAAATCTCTACTTGTTTTTGCTGAATAGAGCCAGACTCACATCCTGTGCGTGTCAATAAAAAAAAAAAAAAGATGGTATTTCTCTCAAATGAAGTAAAGCAACAGTTTGTGGTAAAATAAAAGATGACATGAATGTGAACATGGACTGTGAATAAGCCAAGGAAAGGTATAAGGCAGCAGTGAACAAATGCTGTGACTAACCAAGAATCTTGACTGGTTTAAGAGATATAAAATCTGACAAACATTGCACAGCCTTAAAGAAATGCAAACCAACTTGAAAGGGAGAAAAAGAACAGGGGGGTGGATTCCAGGTTGGTGCCGCAACACCTGAAGCCTCCTGTACAGCAAACAAAATACATTTACTGGATGCATCTGTAAGAGAGGTCACACTGGATCTCTCTTACAGATGCATCCAGTAAGAGTCATGGAGAATTTTGTTTCCTTAAGCCAGTAGGGTATCCCTAAAATAAATAATTCCTGCTTAATGCCTCCTCTGAAATGTTTTAAATTTCAGATTCTGTACTACAAGGTTACTCTCGTTCATTTAGGTGCATGTTCAAAACACAGAGCTCAAATTGGGTCAAAAATAAGTATCACTATAACATTCTCTGCAACCAAAATGGTATTGCAGTTTAAAAGGCAAAACTACTCAATTAAATTGCAAAACAAACATGCAACACAGAAAAGGGGCTGCATTTACTTTACCAAAGCAAATATTAGGCAAGTAGCATGGTACATAGTGATGTGTTAACTAACTGCCTGAGCTGTGGGTAAGGGCAGTACAATTAGAGACTCATGGCAGGTCTTGCTTGAAGAGCACTGCTATCCCTTGCGGGCTTTTTCTGCACCCCTGTTACCTGAGGCATCTTGTCCATCAGCCGATAATGTAGCAGCACTTTTGCTCCTAGCTAAGGAGGCCTGTGTGGGAGCGAGGAGGCGGCTGATTACATTACTCTCCAGAGGACTGAACTGGGAGCGACGAGCTGAATGATGGGAACAAATCAAAAAGGATCCAACGTGAAATCATATAACAAAGGAAACAAGCAGCACAACAGCAAAGGAGGTTTGTGAGCATTGTTGCAAATCAAAACATTTTCAGAAGAAAATATTAAAAAGAAGTCATGAAGAAGGAAATATCTAGTAACAGTACAGAAGGATTAAATGCTGCAATCAGACAGGACTGCATTTGTTGTCCTTGACTTGTTACTAATTATTTTATGCAAAAAAGGATGACATACAAACAAAACAGAGATGGGTGCTAAAATGAAAGTCAAAACATGAAAAACTTTGGGCGCAGCTAGGCAAAGGCTCCCTGGAAGTTCAAGTGCAAGAGAGGTTATTTGGACAGATTAGGGTGCAAACCAGAAACATCTCATGGGTTACTGCATACAGCTATAAGAGCCGATTTGCACAGCGTGCTCACAGCGAAAGGGTTCCAAAGCATTACCCTGCAGCTTCCTGGGATGACAAAAAGCTGCTAAAAAGGAAAGTTTTCAACTTGTTAATTGAAAAGGAAAATATCTGTTATAAAAGCAGCCGTCCTTTGGCTTCACGTAAACAACACGATTAGAAAAGAGTATTAATAACCACAGGATTTGATGCAAAGACACAAGAGGGAAGGGGAGAGGGAGAAGGGTGGGGGAAGAGTTTCCCTCTAGTTCAGGAACACACAACAGTCCAGCAGCAGGAACAGACAAGTCGCTTTTAAACTGGAAAAACAACAGAGCTTTTAAAAGCCAAAGAGAGTGAGATTTGGGTAAAGAATAAAACCTTCAGAGTAAAATCATCTCTTTGCCTTAAAATGTCTCCCTGTCGTTTTTCTAAGCTTTTGCTCGCCTGCTTGCAATCGGATTTGCTACAAATCACCAAAAACTCCCAATAGCATTTTTCCATCAAATGCAGGGAGTCTGAAGAGCTAATTTAATCTTACGACTACATAATTAAAATCCTTGAAAAGTTTCCAAAAGTAGAAACAGCAGAGGGAACAGCCCAGGGCAAAAATCTCTCCTCAGCTTGCTTTGAAATTGCAAGGTAAAAGGTTAGTTTTTAGAAAGAGCTAACCACCTGGTTTTTCTTCCTTTTTCACCTTCTCTAACTCAGGGGAAGAGTGAGGTTTAGTATTCATTCTATTCAAAGACGTGCTCCTCTTCTTTCCTGCTCCTCCTAGAGACCAAGTGCAAGGATTATTATTTTTTAATAAGGCATTTGCATGTTGAATACACGACCTACCCCCTTCTTGCCTTTAGTTCTTCATATTGCCAAGAATACCTCTACGCAGAATTGAGTGGCATTATTCAATACTTCTGCCATGCTGGTTGTCTATTTTAGCAGATGCCCCACACCCCCCTCCAGTACCATCTCTGGGGAAATCATCTTAGACAAACCCAAGATTTCATAGATTTCATGAAATCAAGAATTATGAGTGAAATGTTTGTTACTAGTAGCACGTGCATCCCAATCTCTACATCCAAACATTCAGATGCCCTGCATGCATGCGCTCTTTTGGTAGAAATTATTTATGGACAAAGTTTGGACATTCAACTTAAAAGACAAAACTTAAGTTATCTCATCTCAAATAGTTAATTTGCCCTTTCCTAATTAAGCAAAAGAAAATCAGTTTCCGACACCTTTCTGTTCCACCTGTGAACCTTTGGGTGCTGACTGGGAAGAATGTAGAGGGGCTTTGTTACTCAATCTGCTTAAGGAAGCACTTCTTTTTGTGGTACCTGCAAGTGAAAATGCAAATCCCAGGATTAAGTTTTATCCAGCGTCTGGAGGAGTTCTGTTAACCACCAACCCCACTATTTCTGCTCATAGCGTATGCGATAGCAGTGCAATCTACACACCTGATTCATTTAAATCAACCCTACAGAATCCACGTGTGGCAAGAAATGAAAGTGTATCTTCAAATCATTGGACAGCAAAGTTATCCTGAAGTTTGTCCTGTGCATGGATTTGTGGTAAAATTAAGACTTAAATCAAAATCAAGATTCATTGCAGAAAAGTAGGATACTGCTTCTGATGCATCCAGGAAAAAACCATCTTTAAATTCAATAAAAAGGGACAGACCCCAAGCCCAGCACAACCCAGACTCTAAGCCCCAAGCCCGGTACCTGAGGGCATTTAAAATATAAGCTAGTAGCTGGTCTAGATAATATAGAAAGATCTGAAAGGCCCAAAACAAAGGCTAATTTGAAGAGCATTATTAAAATTAACACCACTGAACAATTAAATTATAATCTGCTCCAAAAAGCAAGCCAAAATTTGATGGTGATTAACTTCCCTAACTATTTTTTAAGGATTTGGGAGCGAGCACATGCTGACACACTGAATGCCTTTCAAAATATGTAAGCTTTAAAAGAGGCTGTTGCTCATGTTTTTTGTCAGAGACAACAGAGACACAAGCTTGGGTCAGAAGTAACTCCACTGACATCAAAGTTCAACTGGAGTAAACCAGAGGAGAGGCAAGCTGAAAACTGATATTTCTTCACTGGTCCAGGGGTACAATCCCACTTCCATTTCAGGTTCTGGCAGCAGCCAGGCACCTACATGTAAATAGAAGAAACCAGGTGAAACCTGGGATTATATCAGCTATGCAGTTTGGAAGTCAGCCACCTGCTTTTTAGGACGCAGTTAGTTAGCCATTATCTTTAAAAGCACATATGGTGTGCAAAAGGGTTAGCATCTCTTTCTCCCCACCCCACACCTCCCCTTTGCAAAAGCATAGTTAAAGTTGCTAATAAAATAGAAATAAAATGTGAAAGTTGGTTAAATTAAGCTTAATTTGAAAAGCAGCCTCTCAGATGCCATCATGTCGTGGTGGACTCAGTTTACAAGTCACAACCAGAAGTGCCTATGATGATACAAAACAGTGATGAGACACAGGGGAATCCCAACTCGCTGCAACAGGCCCAGAGAGATGCTTGCATTCATGGGTGCCTAAACCACACATCATTTACTAGGTGACTGCTGCTTTAGGGGAGCTGCACCAGGAGCTCAGTGCTGCTCTGACTTGTTGAAGGGGAAGCCTGAACAGAGAAACCCTGGTTGGGAGTCCTGATCAGCTTTCCTATTTCAGACTCTTCCAGAAAATAAGGCTAAGCTCGATATTCCCCCAAAAGACACTATGCATCACATGGAGTCAGAGGTTTTAGGCCAATCCCTCTCAGGTGATAATTGGCAAAATAAATATGAACGTGAACAGAAATGAGGACAAATGCTTCATATATGGCATGGTCCTGTTTCTTGCTCACACCCAATGCTCAGCCCTGCAAACATGTATCTACATAAATCGCGCAGATCATAAGTAGGGCCATGGACCTCTAAGGCCTCCTCCTTCTGCAGAACTGGGCCCTTACTCTGCTTTCATGCAACATAAGAAAGTCTTTCCCCTTCCCTCCTCAATTTATAGGCTTTTTGCCCCTAAGTATCAGTAATTTCTTAAGGATGCAGCTGAGCACAACTGCCCTCTCTAAACAGGCTGCAGCACCTTTGGGGAGGGGGTGGGGAGCTCTCCTCTCCTCTCCCTGAGCACGTAAAAAAGTTAAGCAAGCTCTCTGTCCCCAAAACAGACTTGTGAACATCTTTGTCGCTGGCAACTTAGCAGTCTGGAGAAGACAGTGATGACATGTACTATATGAGAAAAAACCATGGCAACTGTTTCTGAATAGCTAGTTTCACTATTTCCCCTGGATAGTCAGCTTCCTCCATCAATAAGGAAAAAACTGTTATTGGCAGGTGGAAGCAAGGGAAAGCGCATTATCAGAAACGCATGTTCTTTGAACTCATCAGATGTCCAGCTCAGGGCTCTTTCAGCAGGACTAGGCTTAGTAGTACTGACCCAGGGTTTTACAACAAGCAAGGGAGGGAAAAAAAACATCTTGGCACAATACAAGAAATGCTCTAGGTAGCGGAAGAAAAGATGTGTATCGCCACCAAGGCTGTAATCTACAATCATTTAATAAATTGGGAGATGATGGCAGAATATGCTACGCGACTACATAAATTGTGCCCTGTGAAATCCCAAAGTCAAAGCAAAAAAGGGGATGGCAGAATTTCCCACTGTTTCTGTCCATTTTTGCTTATATTCAATTCTAAGATGCAAAGCAATGAGGTCCCTGCAGAGTATGGGTAAAAGGCCCACAAGACAGGCTTGATGCCAAGGGCAGCATTTCTTTTTGTTATGAATATGCAAATCAAATGTCTGCAGCTGTTTTAGTGGAGAAAAAAATGCTCATACTTTTTTCAGTTGCAGTTTTTAATTTGATCTACATTTAAAAAAAAAATTGTGCAAAGCAAGCAAAGCCTTCTGAGCTGGTCCAAAACAATTACTTTATCAATCATTCATTAAAAATTGGCTTTAGTAAAACTGAATGCTAGAAATAAGAAAACAGTGATCTCTGCCATTCCTCTTCTGTTCTAACAGATCAAAATGAGGAACTGGGTCAGTCCACTGGTTAACAAGTGAAATAAAATGCTTTTTCAGAGAAGGAATATATTCAGACTACCTTCACCCAGAAAGAGCCCTTGGCCCAACACATCCACACTTACTTCGATCAGCTGAGCCGAGCAGCGCTGCAGAAGAGGACAAGCGTTTGTTCATGGCAACTTCCACTTGCTTGAGGTTTGCTGCAGATGTGGAACGCTTGCTGGCTGCAGACAGAAGTGTTTGTTTTAGCATCTGCCTTCACCTCTGAAAACAGGTTTCTCTGGGATAACCTGGCTTAAGTATTGCATCCTGAAAGCTCCTACCGCCTCTGCTTGGTGATTAATGGAGATATTTTGGGCTTTGCTGCATGCTTGCTGCTGGAATTATTAAAAGCTAACAACCTGCATAGAAACAAGCCGTTCAGTTTTGTTAGGTTTGGGGAGAGATCTCATTTTCCATGCACTGGAGACTGTTTGAAATCTTAATTTATGTCCTCGGAAACAAATGCTCAGGCTCGGTTCTGTTAGAATACCGAGGAGAAAGAAACCACCAAAATACTGACTGCTAACAGCCTTTGCTGCTAGGCCTTCCTTTCCAGAATCTCCAAGCACGTCGCATACCTTAATTGCCTTTAAAACTCCTTCAGCAGGTAAAGTAAGGTCCAGAAAGCTTAGGTGGCTTGATCAGCTCAGAGAGTGGTGGAGTTAACTCTCAAGCCTTGCTCTAACCATCAGAGCACATTTCCTACAAGTTTGTGGGGCTTTGGAGGTGCTAGTGGGAGAAAAATATCAAAAATGTGTCTACATCTTGGCCCTGAGGTTCCACATAGTGTTTGGAGATTCTGCGCGTCTGGATACATCGAAGTGATAAAAGAGATCAAGTGATGGTCCCTTTGAATGTTCGGTTCTGCCTTAGCCCACATGTCAACTGACCTTGTGCTGTAGGGACAAGGCAGTACCCTTTCAGGATGGAGCGCTTCTCCAGGCCCACTACAGGCAGGAACAAGGTGCCCGTTATTGTGGAAACCCCTAAAGCAGGAAACAGCAATGCACACAAGGCAGCAGAAAGCAGCATGATAAAAATGGGAAATATTCGATATGAACTGAATGAATATTTTTGACAGAATCAAAAACGCTGACAGCAGAGCTGATTATCTCACTAGTAAAGCCACACGCAGGGAAAATTCACCATGGAGGGAGCTCTCCCCTTTCCCAAGCATGCTAGGAAAGCTTCCTTTAGAAGCAGCCAGCAAGTAAGGATTTGACTGGATCGGCCTGCCTCTGCCATACTGTGTGTATACAAACCCAAGCTCAGCAATGCCAGAACCCAACAAATTGAGAAGTGGGAGGTCTGTGCTGCACTGAGTAAGATCATGATGCCTAAAACATGAATCGAAGGGTCTACAGCATGCACTGGGGCAGTGCACACAGTAGTGAATATCTGAGTTAAGGATTTCCTAAGGCAGGTGGGTTTTATATGAACTTTACACAGTCTCAGGGTCTTATACAGGAATGTTTTTTCCAAAGCAAACTGCACCCTGTAGTGGCTCCCCTTGTAACGAGACAGAGCAACGGCTTCAGGATGTAGGAGCAGGCCGTGTAGCCACTCACAGGACTTCTCAATAAATGAAGTAACCAAAAAGCAGGGATGCATAAGTATTAAACTAAATCTGAGACTTCATTTGCTTGAAATACAATTTAAGAACTGCCATGAAACCTAGGATTTAGTCTATGGGCTGCTGGGATCCAAAGGGAATTATTCTGGCTTGTGGCATCCTAGGGTCCTTGGAAACATCACTCAAGCTTTAATCCATTGCTCAGGATTCAGATGAACCTTTTTTATTAGCTCCCTGGTCAATATAATTTTAATGACTTGATCAGCCAGCTTCAACGTTATCTCTCGTTAGGCTGTTAGTGAGAATAACTGCTAATACTAGGGAATGGCATCCTTCTGCACGCACCTCTTGAGCAAAATTCGGCACGTTCTTGAACAAGTTATTTCAAGCACATGGCACTTGTTTAGGAACTCACAGGACTGAACTACCTCTCCTGGGCCATTGAACCCAGTCTCCTAACTGGTTTAGTTCTGCATTTGGAGGATTTTCTTTGAGAAATAAAAGTTCTCCCTCCTGTATAAGTCAAACTGCAAGAACTGGAGCAAACAGCCAACAGAATGGCAAAGGCACTGTGTTCAGACATTGCATTTTTTGGTTTGGATTAGCATCATTTTGCAATAGGAAACTTGCTCTCAGCTGCTGGGCCTTTACTGTGAAGGATGCCAAAGACTTATTATGCAGCACTTCAGTATATTGCAGGCTTCTTGTTCGAGTCAAACCGCATTTGTCAGCATTTAACAGAGAAGTAGTTAATACTGGGATGAAATGCTTGATTGTGGATTTTCTGCTGACCTTCCGAATTCCCAAACACCAGTGGCAAGTTTTTTGTATAACTGCCACACACAACATTTCTTTTAATAGATCTTCATAGACATCAGGGCTGTAAAGGACCTCATAAGATCATCAGGTCCAGCCCCAATTCATTTCTCTCCATAGCCATGAAGCTACTCTCAAATCACTTTATGTAGTACAACTCAAAGGAATCCACAATAAGTCTTACCCTGTACCGGACATTACAGGAGACAAGTTGGAACAAATTACTGTGAAGAGATTAAAAATAAGAACATAGCCAGCAGAACCGAGAGCATCGAGCCTGAACAGCAGGTATATGTCAGCTCATTGCAAGGCCTGAAGGGGAAATTGGCTTCCTTGTGCCTGTAATGTCTGCTTTCCACCTGGTGCTTCTGCACTAGCCTGCAGTGTAGGAATGGGTGCGTACTGTTTGCATTTCTGAGCCAAGGCTGCCAACAGCACAAGTTTCATTTTTAAGAGGGCCTAAGAGGCAGGGAAGACTTCTCTTACCAAGGCCTCGATACCATGTCTGTCCTTGCAGGAATCTCTCTTCTCAGTCTGTTATCCCCCTGGGGTTCTCACAAAACCCAAAGACCTCACTGCTGCAGATCCTGGCTGCTTTTAAAATACGAGGGTCAAATCCTTTCCAAGGGCTCTAGCAGAGAAGGCAGGGAACAAGTAGGAAGACCAACAGAACCCAAATGTAGGAGGGGGTTCAAGAAAGTGACTTTCCCTAGATCTTTTAGACCAATTTAACAGCACATTACCCAGACCCTGGGCTCCTAAGGTAGGGCACCAAAGGAAAGGTCATTACTTGGCTCTGTTCACCGAACAAAGTACTTTTGTCTTGGGCACTTTGGTTAAAGCATGTGAGGACTGCTTAGGCTGCTGATCAGACAAACCAGCTCTTATGCAATTCCTACAAAAGGTGAATGGCAAAGCAAATCAAGAAAAAAAGCCTCAAGGTTTCCCCCGTGCACTTCTGGATGGTAGGCCTGCTTCTTTCTTGCTTCGTTTGAGGGCTTTGCTAATTTTTGATGGACTTGGATAGAGGCATTGCAACTGCAGATCAAGGGAGAGAGATAAGTTTTATATTCTTATGGGTATATTCTTCAGGAATAAGAGGAAAAGTAAAGACTGTGTTTAAAAAAAAGGCTGCTTTATGAAGCAATAGGCAATTCTGGGCAAATTATGTTGTTTTTCGGTTTAAGGGAAAACCTGACAGTAAAAACGAGTTTGACACTTTTCGGAAATAGGACAGGCCCATAATTTTCCAACTTGCCTTTGAAAATAAATCAGATTGGATACCAGAGGATGATTGAATTGAATGCGTGTCCCTAAGAACTGTATGTTTCAAAGGGAAGCCAACCCAGTCAAACCAATGACTTCTGGGAGTAAACTACCAATGCATGCATAGAAAAGCACGAGAAACAAGGGGGGGGGGGAATGACAACACACGTGTTTCTGCTGTGGTTGCCAGAATAGGCTATAGCTGTTAAATCATGCTCAGTTAAACTTTTCATTGCATTTTCAAGTATTATATCAGAGCATTACAAGGCAGCTGTAGTGGGTTAGTAAAGCTAGGAGCATGCACACAGTTTTTTCAGAGCTCACAGATTTAGCTGGGTCTCTGCAAAGGGCTGCCATATGAAGCCTTTGCCATAAAGGTAGTTATTTTTTGTATCTCCTATAGACCAATTATCAGTGATCGTAAGGCTTTCCAAGTGTTTCTCAACCTCTTCCATAGAAAGAGGTAGAAAGCAAATGCAAGGGAGGTCACTTTCAAGTGTTATATGCCAACACAATGGACAGCTCTGCTTTTGCAAATCCCTCCGTGAAAACACAACTAGAGAAAAAAGTTAGGTCATTTGTTCTCTACATTGCTGTGTTGGGAAGTTTCCATAAGCACTGCTGATTGCCAAAATGATCCAAATTACTTTCCATGTCTTAGGAGACAATGACAATGTTTAAGAAACCCTGCTTTATGGAGAGGACCATATTTTTGTACACTCAACGTATCAGGGCAGCGTCCCTGTCACAGCTAGAAAGATGTCCCAGTTATCCCATTCTTTACACCAAGACACCCACAGGGGAGTAGGGAGGGTCCTGCTTCCTGCACCTGCCCCTGGAGGCAGTGTGGTGGGCAGGAACAACTGGGGGTTTGTGACCTTTGTGTCAGACTCCCTTGGGATCCCACCAGAGACCGCCCTTAACCAGCAAGAACTGATTGTTAAAAGGTACAAGGCACCCCCTCCCACCTAGCAGCCAAAGCTGCTGCCCCTGTCGGCCCACATCTATGTAAAAGATATGCCTCCCTTAATTCCCATCAGCAAAAGTCAGAAGTGCAGTTCAAAAGGTTAGTGGTTAATGTAAAACAACAGCAAAAAGGGCACTTGGAAATCAATACCCGTTCCACCTTCATCCGTTGTCTGCGTCTCTGTAGAAGAAGAAGGTTTGTGAGCCTAACTGCAAGGCTGGTTTGCGCTTAATATACACTTAACAGGAAAATGGGAAGTTAGAGATAATTAAGACAATTTTTATTTCAAAGAGTTCCATTTCTAGTATTTCTCAGTATGCCGATAAAAAAGATCATTATTACAACCATTGCAACCACAAACAGAGTTTGATTCTGGGATTTCTTAATTCTTGTACAGTTACTTTTAGGACTCGCTGGACTTGCCAACACTGCTTTTCTTACAACTTCTCTCTCTCCAGCTAGAAACTGAGTCATGATTTACAGCTGATTACAGCAAGTTTTGTTTCCTCTTAAGATGCGTGTGTTGTGTCAGAGTTGATGGTAGTTTTATGAAGAGTTAGATGATACAGGAGGGTTTAGATAAGGATGATCCTGCCTCAGGCAGGGGACTAGACTAGATGACCTCTGGAGGTCCCATCCAGCCTGATTTCTCTATGACTCCTATAATGAGAGTGAGGGCCTGCCAGACACTGTAAGGAGGCACTGTGAAGACATCCTTGCAATTCCCTTTTTCTCTAATTCATACCAATCTTGGCCTGTTCGAATTTGGGGCATCTGATAGACAAGAGCAGCTAATTGTGTCAAATTGTATGATGGTTTAAGAGAAATTGGTTTGACAAGCACACACCATTTAAAATGGGTAACTGGAACAAAACATGGTCACCCCCGTGGAAAAGCCTGGGCATTAACCACTGTACCACCTTACCTGCTTAAATAAAGAGTAAAAGGTAAGTATCTTCAGTACACCCTTTCCAGCATTGACAGCAAGTCTGAGGAAGGCTGCATTTTCAAGGCATTTTATATGCAATTACCATGTTGCAGACTAACAGAGCAGCAGGAATCAGAGACATAGTAAAGATACCATTATAAAAGTATTGCCTTTACTCTGAGGTATTTCATATGTGGTAAGTTAACACAGTTCACTTTTTCATCTCGCTAGAAAGAGAACACACTTACCAGTCTTGCTGTCTGAATCTGTCACAGACCCTCCCCACGACCACCGCTTCTGCCGTGTTTCCAGACGTTGGCTCCGCTCCAGCGTACGATGCACAACTGCTTCGTAGTGTTCCTATTACCAAACAACATCTCTGTAAAGCTGGGTAACCATAATTATTAGAGACAACCACGTAAGCTCACAACAAGGTACAAAGTGTAGATGCTTGGCACCACCCAATCGTAACCTGATTTATAACAAAGTGAACATGGAAGAATACTGCAGACAGATCAACAATCATTTTAATACGATGCACAACAAAAAACAACATAACGTGCCTCCAAATTACACTAACGGAGGACACGTATCATAGAGAACCACATTTGGTGGATTAACAAATCTGTTGCTGCTGCTCTAACTTTTTTGCTATTTTCTGCTCCCAATACTTTCTGAACAGGGCCTTTTTTTTTTTTTTTTTACTTTTAAAAGCAGGAACACTCTGTACTGGGACCAAGTTTCAGTGCCTGCACCTTAAAAGGGCATATGATAAAGAATTGGCTGTAATCCCCAGGTATCAATTCAGATTTACAATATGGAGCAGCAAGATTCAATCACTAGAGTCTTGATTATCAGGGATTTGAGTGCAGTGGGGATAAAAGACTGTAAAATATCAAGTATTTGAACTGCTGCAATTCTAGACTTTGAAGTTCTTTAAAGAGCTGTTTTCCATCAAATACCAGGAACCCATGACAGTCATATTTGTAGAGTGCTGCACAAACTTCAGATTTCTAATAAGGAATTTGCTCAGGTCTAACAAGAGCCCCAGAAACAAGTGAGCAGCTCATCCTTCACTTAGAAACATGCTGCAAATTAAGTGGGTTGTGAATCACTTGTATGTGAGCAATCCAAGCTGTGCTATAATCACGCACAACTGAGAGGCTGTCAGGGAACAGGACAATTTACTGGAAGAGCTACACTTGTGCTCCTTCGGTGTTGATCACAGGTGTGCTATGATAAGATACCACGGGACCAGTTACCCAAACAATGCTCTTCCTTGAGGACATAAGGCTTCCACTCTCCCTTAACACCAATTTGGTAACATCACAGACTAGGTCTCTGGATAGATGTTTTGCTTAAGAGAAGGTGAACATGGAAGGAAAAGTGAACTGGGAGGGTGGGAAATTCTCTATGAAGATTCTGTGCCTTGATTACCAACTAGTACTGCTTAACATGTAATCTACCCCCAGGTTCTGTTTACTTCATTGGTTATAATCCATGTGAGCAGACACCCAAGGTGTCAGTCACCAAAATAACTGGGCTTAGATCTGTAGCTTGCACTTCCATGAGGTTCTTTATTTGTACTGCAGCTGCACCTAGACATTCCCAGCCTGGGATCAGGCACCACTGAACGGACATAATAAAGACATTCTTGGCCCCCAAAAGATAAACACACATTACTTACTAAATACCAAATGGTGCTCCAAAACATTTTATATATCTATTAACAATCCGAGTCTGAATTACTGTCATTCAAACATTTTGAACTCCACTTCTTCACATCAACAAGGCTTTGATATATGTCTCAGGCAAGAGAAGACTTCACATCTTCTTACTATGACAATTCTGTTTCTAAGTTGTCTTCAGAGGCAACTAGCCAGAAGCAAACTGACTGAAGCACGAAGAAAAAAACATGGATGACTGCGTATTTTATCACCGTTTTATTTGGTAAAATTTGGGAGTGAAGGGAGAGATCTTAAATATCAAACACTTTCTTTTAAAATTAAATATTTCTCGATCATATTTCTGAACTTTCAGGTTCTGCCTTCACATCCTATTTGAAGGCAGGTTTAATGGGTCAGATGCAACCCATTAGGCAGAGCTAGAAGACACTGTGCCAACCCTTAGACTCTACGGGTGCCTATACATGTGCAGAGAGGTTGCTCTGACGTGCTGTAATTACAGTGCGTCATACCAGATTTAATTAATTGAGTCTGCTGGAGCATGGCAATTACTGCACTCCAGCAGACTCCAGTATCATGTGCATCAGCACCTGCACGCTGAAAAATGGCAGTAGCGGCGCTTTAACTAAAGCTTGTACAATGAGATCTAGTTAAACCGCCCCTGTTGCCATTTTTCAGTGCGAGGACACTGATGCACATGATGCTCCAGGTGCTTTAGAGTGGCTTTCAGAGCTGCTCTTATTAAAGACCCTCTTTTCCCCCCACTCCCAGAGCACGTGTCTAAATGCCCTATGAGTATAGTTGTGTGCATCAGATCCCCTTTTAGGGACAGGATCTCAAAGTTCAGGTTGGCATGAGTCTGCAGCTGATGCTACAATTCACTTCTCTGTTCAAATAAATGGTTTCACCCAGCAGCCACTGCTGCAGCTCTCTGCCTTGAGGTTTCTCTAGACAAAAAAGCATTAAGCTGAAAAGGGCTCTTGTACTCCAAGAGCTGCAGTCATGTTACACTTGCAATTCCATTCTCGCCCAAGCACTTACTGTGCAGAACAAATATTTCTGCTTGTTTTTCAGCAGCCTAAATTATTGCACATGGTTTTCACGGCCAAGCTGAAAACACCTGGGATCCAATCTCAGATAATGAGCATAACGCTATGCAAATAAGAAGGCTTCAGACAAGATGAGCCCAAGGAGCATTGGCCAAGGAAAATGGCATAAAACACATGCACAGACAGGACCGGGGAGCTCCTAAAAGTGCAGAAGGGCCAGGAAAGGTCAGGAGGAGGGCGAACTAGTTAGTAGAAATGTAGTCTGCGGTTAGCAGCACAAAGACAGCACCATGAGCGGCGATATAAGAGAACTGAGGCAACATGAGCCAGCCAGCCCTCAGTGGAAAACAACGGGTCAGGAAGTGGCACTGAGGAAGGTTAAACATAAAACCAGTCATCCATGGTGGTTGGCAGAAGCACAACAAAACATGGCAACAACTGAAAAATTAAAATCTTAAGAGATCTTTTCTTGCTCTTGGTGTTAAAAATTACACAAAGCAAATCAAGACAACCCGCTAAAGCTCAAAACAAAACAAGAAACACAGATGCATCCCTTCAGTGGAATAAAAGACGTACGTAAGTAATAGAGCACTATGCTAGCGGGGAAGGAAAACACATTTACACCCCAAAATAGTAAGGACTCCAACTCCAATGACTTACAAAAGAACACTGGGCTGAGCAATGCCCTTACACTATTCAGAGGTAACTTATTTCCTGGTAAAGAAATCATGCAGGCAGCTCTGACTATTACACAGCAGCCAGGAACAGTACCTTTTCCTCCTCGATTTTTTGTTTCCTTTTTTCTTCTACTGCTGCTCTCCTTTGCTCTTCTTTCTGTTTCTGTTCTTTCAGCTTCCTCTGCTTTTCTTCCATCTGCTTTTCATACTGCAGTTTTGCTTTTCTCTCCTTCTCAAGGATCTGTGTCTCTTTGGCAGCTGTTTAAAAAAAAAAATTACAAAAAAAAAATTAAAGCAAAGTTCAAGAGTATGCCTGAAGAGTGCGATATGCAAGTGGCCAACAGATTTGTTCACCTCTGAGAAGGAAGTCTGCCCAATACAAAGATCTAAAAAGGATTCTAATATTATCTGGTAACAAATGCATCTCCACCAATGGACTCTGAGCATGACCTTATATACTGCCTTTGATTTTGCCCCTGATACTGGGAAGAAATTGGAATATTTTCTGAAGTCTGGCACTTGACAGATACCAAAGTAAGCTTCTTAGGCTAGAGAATACGTCTTCTGCTGTGCATATGTGCAATCATAATATTAAAGCCATTGGGGGTGGGGGGGTGTGAACATCACAGACGGGACTTAACAGCATGGGGGTTTCTCACTCATGCTTTACGTTACATTACAAAATACATGTCACTGAGTGAGATATTGTGATAACTGCTGTGTCTTTCTGCCGAGTTATGCATAGTTCCTCAAAAAGTCACCATCCTCCACAACTTACTCCTGGAGACAACTGCAGAGTTTAAAAGGCAAGCCAGAAGCACCAAGAATAACGAGCCAACAGTTGAATGTATTGGCAAAGATGGTGCCTGAGCCTTGTAGGAAGAAATGAACTGAGAAGATAAGTCACTGCACATGCAAGAAGAGAGTCTCAAATTTGTGCCATACAGATGCACAATGCATGCTGACATGATCTCCACTGGCCAAGATTCCCAACTCCCAACTCGGAGGCAGTTTATTATTAATAATGCCTCAGTCCAGCAGTAGTTTCTGCTTCCTCGAATGCTGAAAAGAGGTGATACTCAAATGCAATTGAGCAGCTGAGCTGCTCAAATGTTCTGGGTCCTTAGTAATATTGCTGCATCGGCACAGTCCACACAATATAACATTTGTCTAGATCAGAGCCATCAACCTTTGGGCTTACCTTGGGCTCTCGCCTGGCCACTGCTCCCACTCTCCTCCCATCCCAGCTGCTTCTGCTCTGGTAGCCAGGAGGGGGCTGGAATGCCTGAGCTGTACACATGGCCAAGAAAGGAGCCAAGTTGCCACGTGAGTGGTACATACAGCTTGCAGGGGAAGGAGGGCTGTGCATGTGGT